CCATTAAAAACATAAGAATGGCCATACTGGGTCAGACCAATGGTCCATCTAGCCCAGTATCCCTGTCTTCCATCAGTGGCCAGTGCCAGGTTCTTGAGAGGGAATGAACAGAACAGAGCAATTATTGAATGATCCAGTCTCTGTCATCCAGGCTAAGTTTCTGACAGTCAGAAGTTTAGGGAGACCCAGAGGAATGGGGTGCATCCCTGACCATCTTGGCTCATAGACATTAATGGACCTGTCCTCCAGGAAATTATCCTAATTCTTTTTTAGAACCCACTTATACTTTTGGCTTTCACAACATCCCCTAGCAACAAGTTCCATAGGTTGACTGTGCGTTGTGTGAAGAAATACTTCCTTATGTTTGTTTTAAACTTGCTGCCTGTTAACTTTATTGGGCGATCCCCAGTTCTTGTGTTATGTGAAGGGGTAAATAACACTTCCCTATTCATGTTCTCCACACCATTCATGATGTTATAGACCTCTATCATATACCCCCTCAGTCGTCTCTTTTCTAAACTGAACAGTCCCAGTCTTTTTAATCTTTCCTCATATGAAAGCCGTTCAATACCTGTAATAATTTGTGTTGCTCTTCTCTGTACCTTTTCCAATTCTAATATATCTTTTTTGAGATGGGATGACCAGAACTACATGCAGTATTCAAGGTGTGGGCATACCTTGAATTTATGTAGTGGCATTATGATATTTTCTGTCTTATTATCGATCCCTTTCTTAATGGTTCCCAAAATTGTTAGCTTTTTTGACTGCTGCTGCACATTGAGTGGATGTTTTCAGAGAACTATCCACAATGACTCCAAGATCTCTTTCTTGCATGCTAATTTAGACCCTATAATTTTACATGTATAGTTGGGATTATGTTTTCCAATGTACATTACTTTGTATTTATCAACATTGAATTTCATCTGCCATTTTGTTGCCCAGCCACCCAGTTTAGTGAGATCCTTTTAAAACTCTTTGCGGTCAGCTTTGGACTGAACTATCTTGAGTAATTTTGTATTGTCTGCAAACTTTGCCACCTCTGTATTTACCCCCTTTTCCAGATAATTTATGAATATGTTGAACACCACAGGTCCCAGTATGGATCATTAGGGGACCGTGCTATTGACCTCTCTCATTGTGAAAACTGACCCTTTCTTGTACCTCTTCTGGGGAAAGAGAGCTTCAGTCTCCAGAGGTGTCAGTCTGACACTGTTCACTCCACAACACACCAGGGACATCAAGATGCTAAAGGAGCAACCTTTGTTTCCCATCTTTTTAACCAGTTACTGATCCATGAGAGAACCTTCTCTCTTATCCCATGACTACTTAGCTTGCTTAAGAACCTTTGGTGTGGGACCTTGTCAAAGACTTTCTGAAACTTCAAGTACACCATATCTACTTCCTCTCCCTTGTCCACATGCTTGTTGACTCTCTGAAAGAATTCTAATGTATTGGTCAGGCCTGATTTCCCTTTACAAAAGCCGTGTTGACTCTTCCCCAGCATATTGTTTTCCTTTATGCGTCTGATAATTCTGCTCTTTACTATAGTTTCAAACAAACAATTTGCCTGGTACTGAATTTAGGCTTACTGGCCTGTAATTGCTAGGATCGCCTCTGGAGCCCTTTTCAAAAATTGGCATTACATTAAGTATCCGCCTAATTGTTTGATACAGAGGCTGTTTCAAGTGACAGGTTACATACAACGGTTAGTACTTCTGCAATTTCATATTTTGAGTTCATTCAGAACTCTTCGGTGAATGACATCTAGTCCTGGTGACTTATTACTGTTTAATTTATCAATTTATTTCAAAACCTCTGTTGACACCTCAATCTACGGCAGTTCCTCAGATGTTTGACCAAAAAAGAATGGCTCACATGTGAGAATCTCCCTCACATCCTTTGCTGTGAATACCAATGCAAAGAATACGTTTAGCTTTTTCTCAATGGCCTTGTCTTCTTTGAGTGCTCCTTTAGCATCTTGATCATCCAGTGATGTACTTAAAAAAGGTGCAATTAGTTTTTTTGTGTCTTTTGCTAGTTGCTCTTCAAATTCTTTTTTTGGCCTGCTTAATTATATTTTTACACTTGACCTGCCAGAGTTTATGTTCCTTTCTATTTTCTTCAGTAGGATTTGACTTCCAATTTTTAAAGGATACCTTTTTGCTTGTAACCGCCTCTTTTACATTGCTGCTTAGCTGTGGTGGCATTTTTTGGCCCTCTTATTGTTGGTTTTTGTTTTTGCTTTGGGGTATACATTTAGTTTGAGCATCTATGATGGTGTTTTTAAATAGCTTTCAGGCAGCTTGTGGGCATTTCACTTTTGCCACTGTTACTTTTACTTTCCATTTAACTGGCTTCCTTGTTTTTTGTGTAGTTCCCTTTTTTGAAGTTAAATGCTAATATGGTGGGTTTCTTTGGTATTTTCATCCCTACAGGGATGTTTACATTTACTTTGCTATTACCGAGCAATTCAGCTATATTCACCTCTTGGACCAGATCCTGTGCTCCACTTAGGACTAAATCAAGAATTGCCATTGTCATTCCTGTGGTGGGACTCGAGAGGTGAAATAGCCTGGCACCCGGAGCCATCCCTTGGGAAGGGCAAATCGGGGTGACCACTCCGGGCCCCGCACTTTGGGGAACCCCGTGGGCTGGTGTGATTGGCCGGCACGGTCGGTCCCGGAAGACGAATCCATCACTTCCGCAGGGCCCACCATCTTGTTGGCAGTTAGCAGAGACAGCGCCCGGCTCAGCCGCCTGCGTTTTGGTGCAGCGAGTCCCCCACCCTGGGCGAAACCCGGAGTCACCGTGGTGCGATGGTCAACAATAGCCCCACAGTAGGCACCGGCAGGGCCGGCTCCAGGCACCAGCGAAGGAAGCAGGTCAATGGAAAGGGGCGGCCAATGGAAAGGGGCGGCACGTCCGGGTCTTTGGCGGCAATTCAGCAGCGGGTCCCTCAGTCCCTCTTGGAGCGAAGGACCTGCCGCCGAATTGCCGCCGAAGAATGAACCGGCATGATAGAGTAGCAGGTGGCCCAGCACCAGGCCGGATCTGTCCCTCCAGCCGAGCTGCCAATGCAGAGTGGGGCCTCCAAGCCAGTGGGGGCTGATTTGTCCCAGGCCCTGCACCCCGCCCTAGGGACTGCCCTGCTGGCACCTTTCACTTTAGAAATCCTGAAAGAACCATACATTGCAAAGAAACAGTTGCACTGAAAAGCATGGTCAGATAGTGAAGATATTAAGGACCAGATCCTCGGCTGGCATCCTTGACCTCAGTGGAGCGATGCTGATTTATACCTGCTGAAGATCTGTCCCTCAGTTCTTTGCACCTAGAGACAAAGCAAACACCAGAGCTCCAGGTTTCTGGGGAACTAAAAATCTGTCTAATGAAATGAAGGCTCTGTTAGACTTCAGTGATGTAGTTTTGCCATATTTCCCTATTTGAAATTGCCGGCTCCTGGGTTAGTTTGAGGGGAGAGAAGTAACAGTGGCATTTACTAATATCATCAGGGCTGACTGGTGCAGCGTCTGTGATATCTATACAAGAGGAGGACGTGTGAAGTACTCAGGGGTGCTCCCAGAAGTATTTGAGTTTCTGCATTTTACAGGAAAACCAGTCTGCAGGGAAATGTTTGCTGTAGGTCTGCATTAGTTATATAGGAGATGCAATTTCTTTGTGATTGGAACTAATGCAATCTGTAAGAAAATCAATGAAGGTTCACATGAAATTCACACATATTTCTGGGAGCGCAGTGCAGTCTATCTAACAGAACCATGCTCTGCTAACACAGAAAAACGGTCAATAGCCATGCATTTGATCTCGCTTCTTCCACATTACCTCAAGCCTTCCAGACAACAAAGGACACATCTTCACACAGCTTCCTTCTGCTTCAGAATATACTTCAGACTGGGATGCCATCTGCTCTGATCTTGCATTATAAAGACCAGCTTGATTATGTCGAAGCAGGGTCCAGAGGCTCAAAGGCTCTTCCCACAGCTGTGGCATAACCAGGCTGGGGGGGAGAGGGGGGAATCCTATTGCACAGAAGCCAGAAATAAGTAAAAGTTGCGAAAGGGGAGGATGGTCAGGGGAAACGCAGAAGGCAGGAAAGGCTGAGTGACATAATTTGACACACATTCGCTGAATAGTTTCACCCAGAATTGGTTTTTTCCCCCCCAGCTACAGTCATAAAATGGTGGCTTATCGGAGGCAGTGCTCGTCTCATAGCTGGTTTTTACTTCAGTGGGGAGAGCACTCTCCTGGGATCTGAGATGCTCTCGTGCAAGGATTTGAAAATAGATGAGTGCCCTAACCACCAGGCAATATTGATTTTCATGCTCGCCTTCTGACCCAATGACTAGTCAGGTAGTTTATAGTTCAGCAGGCGAGACTGAAAGAGGCTCCCTTCAGAATACGCTATGGGCTGGTAATTGGAGCTCTAGAGTAGGAGTGGGGGGTTCAAACCTAGGTCTCCCATATCCCAGCTGAGTACCACTTCCTTCTCCAGCCATCTTGTGAATCTGGTCCTTTAAAAATGGCCCAGGAATAAAACATTTGGGGTTGAATTATGTGTTTTGCTCGACCCTAAAATGGATTCTTTTGATTTGCCAAAGTTTTTTGGAATTTTTTGTTTATTTGATTTGACCTGAACTGAGAATTATTTTGATTTTTTTTTTGGAACTGCCAGCAAACCAAAAAACCAGTTATTTGCCTAGCTTTAATTCCTGGACACGGTGACAGTATGAGAAGTCAGCAACAGCAGAGGCAGCACCAGGCATGTGCTATTTTGTATGATCTGATCTGGATTTCAAAGCTGATGAGTTTTATCCAGATATTACAGTTTTTACTTAAATTAGAAATAAAATGATTATATAGCCTGATTTTTGATTCATAGTCTCAGGCCAAATGTAAAGACAGAACTAAACATAAGACCAAGGAAAGGTGGGGCGGGGAGAGGGAGAAGGTATGGGGGGGGGGGCGCGGGGGAGAGATACTAAAAACAGAAGAATAAAAAGAGAAACCCTGGCATAATAGTCAAAAACTGAGCAGAGAGAATGCAGACACAGATACCTCTAGGCAGTCACAGTGGCAGCAATATTTCAGTTTAATTTATTTGGGAGACTGAAACCACAGCCTGAAAATTGGGACAACCACTTTGTTTGTTGGTTTCTCCAGAACAACCAGAGTTTAAATCTTTATTCACAAACAGCAAAGAGATCAGATTTGTTTTCTTTCAGCCTCTGATCCAGCCTCTCCACACCTGCCCTGAGAGATGTGCTTGGGTATCGTACTTTAGTGGAGTGACTTCTTAGATGGTGAAGCTGTGGAGCAGCCCCCAAGTGGCTACCCTTGTAAGTTACACCCCGGTCGCCTATCCTGTGTCTGTCTTGTCTGTTTAGATTGTAAACTCTTTTCTGTCTCCAGTACTTATCAAAGCAGCTGAGGTCTTCTGTCAAAAGAACTGAAAGCCTCTATTGCAATCCAAGGTGATTTGCATATCTGATTGGATTACTAGGATTGTACAGGGAGGTGCAGAAATTAGCCCTGAAGTTATTTAATTAAATCACAGACATATTACAACAAGGCTCCACGGGTCCCTTCTGTTGAGGTTTATAACCAGGGTTCCCTATAGTGCCAGCTGTAGTGGTGGCTTGCATGTCATGGATGATTGTCCACTAGGAACTGTATAGAGACCACCAGCTTACGTCACACAGACCCACCATAACCAGTTCACACCTTTTCAAGGAAGGGTAGAATTTTTTAGTTATGTTAGGTGCTGTTTTCTGTACTATGGACTTTAATTAAACCAGTTGTGTGTGGCTTACCGGTTTGACCAGCTGGAAGAACTCATTTCAAAAAGTAAGTCACCCTATCGGAAGGTTTTTTTTTATCTAGCAGACAAAGTTGCAACAAGATCTAATAACTGGAAGTTGAAGTCCACCAGAGTTCAAATAGGAAATAAGATGCAAATAAGTGAGTGTATCTAACTGCTGGGACTGATTACCAAAGGATGCGGTAAATTCTGTCACTTGGAGTATTTAAAGACTGGATGTCTTTCTAAAAGTTACTCTCTAGGTCAGCTTCAAATTGTTGAACTAGATGTAGGAATCACGGGATGAAATGTATGGCTTGTGCTATGCAGGAGGTCAGACTAGATCATAATGGTCCCTTCTGCTCTAAGAATCTATTCAGCATAGGTGGTGTTTCTCCCAAGTTCTTCCAATTCCTAGCTTTTATAGTCTGATTTCCAAAACCCAATATTCCAGTCCCCTTGTTTTTGCAAACGAAACTGCTTTTATCATGTTTTAAATGAAAGGGATAGGTTGAATGGGCACCATGCAAGATGTTCACAGCTCTGTAAACTGACTGAAGAAGAAGATGAAGATGTGTATTAGTAGGAAAACATAAGCTATGTGAGCGCGGCTTATACTTCCATTTCTTTGTTCTTTTGTTGTAACTCATGTAGGACCCCTAGTATACGAGGTAATTAGACAGATAGTGTATTACAGGCAAATAAATGCCAATGGTTCCCTTGTTTGTGGGAAGGCTGTAACTTGTTGTTTATTTCATTATTATAACACAAGTCCTCCTACAATGGCTGCAATGCTACGATAAAGCTATTATAGAGACATTAAAAAACAAAGCTCCTTTTGAGAAGACCTTTGGAAGAAATCTCTGTTTAAAATACAAGGTTGTTTTACATTCAGAGTTTTAGATACTGGCAAATCAAGAAAAACAAAACCTGAAATAAAAAAACAGACTAACTTGACTGTCATTAACACAGGTTCATTTTTTTCGAGGATATTGCTGTCAATCAAAAAGCGACAGATAAAAGGTCCCTCTCTTCCTCTTTGAGCTGCCGCCGAAGTGGAAGCGAGGGAGCGAAGGACCTGCCGCCAAATTGCTGCAGAAGAATGAAGCTGTGCAATTGAGCTACCGCCGAAGTGCCGCCGATCGGCTTTATCTATTTTTTTTTCTTCGCTTCGCCGCTTGGGGCGGCAAAAAAGCTGGAGCCGGCCCTGACCACACCTGTAGGTTAGTTGTTCCCATGTTTAACTAACCTCCCTGATAATAGCTTGCACTTCCTTTGGGGGCCGTTGAAGGATCAGGACCTAAATGTCTCTCCAGCCCATCAGTGGCTGTGATACAAGTATACCAGGCACTTTCATAGCTCCTTTCATTCCAGGAGCTCAACGTGCCTTAAAACAGAAACAGCCTCACAACATCCTTGTTAAGGGCAGAAGTATTATTCCCCATATATTTTTACATATACAGATAAGGAAACCAAGGGAGATTTAAGGGGTACATTTTCAAAGGGCTGAATCCAGGATTCCCTTCTGGGGGGGAACAGCTTGTGCTCACATTTTGTAGCTATAGCTGTATTACAGGTGCAAAATTCAGATGTAAGTTTTGTAGGTGAAGTTGCACCCACCAAGAGGAGATCACTGTTTTGAAATGCAATGCCAAGTGACTTCTCTAAGGACTCACAAGGGGTCAGTGGCACTCCTATTCAACCTTCACCACCACACCATTCGTCCTTCCTTCTTAGAGTCTCTCATTCTACAATATACTGACCTCTGTTACACTACAGCAGGGATCAGCAACCTTTGGCATGCAGCCCATCAAGGAAATCTGCTGGCGGGCTGGGACGGTTTGTTTACCTAAAGCGTCCACAGGTTCGACCGATCACAGCTCCCACTGGCTGCGGTTCGTCGTTCCAGGCCAATGGGGGCTGCGGGAAGCGGAGGCCAGCACATCCCTTGGCCCACGCTGCTTCTTGCCGCCCCCATTGGCCTGAGACGGCAAATCGCCACCAGTGGGAGCTACAATCGGCCGACCCTGCAGACGCTGCAGGTAAACAAACTGGCCCAGCCCGCCAGCGGATTTCCCTGACGGGCCGCGTGCCAAAGGTTGCCGATCCCTGAACTACAGTATTATCTCCTCACAGTAAAAAAACCCCATTTATCTTCTTTTACTTCTTGTAATTGTGTTGGTAAACAACCAAGACACTGGCTGAAGACCAGGAGTGTGCACAAGTGGGGGGCAAGCAGGGGCACAGGCTACCCCCACCCCGCCCAGTAATCGTCAGGGGCACAGAATTTCTCTAGGCCACAGAGGCAGAGAAGAGTGAGCTCCTGCCAGGATGTGGGGGGAGGGAGGGAGGGGAGAGCAAGCTCCTGTTGGGGCCGGAGCGGTGGGGTAATCAAGCTCTTCCTAGGGCCCAGTGGGGAGGGAGCAGAGCAAGCTCCTGGAGGGGGGAAGCACAGAATGTACACCTCCAAAAGGGGTCAAATTTAAATTCCTGCACCCACCCCTGCTTAAGACAGACAAGCCATTTTTGCTCTCATTTATACTCATTAAAATCCACAATGATTCCAGACTTCAGTTACTCCATTTATTAATTATTATTATTAATTTGCATTATGGTGTGGCCCAGGACACCATGACCACATTGTTCTAGGCACTGTACAAACACAGAATAAAAAGACAGTCCCTACTCCAAAGAGCTTACAGTCTAAGTATAGGACAAGAGACAAGAGGGGGATGCAGACAGAGAGGGGAGCACAAGGAAACAATGAAACAAAAATACTCCATATTTACAACAGTGTACTATCAAGTAGAATTTGGCCAGCATTCCTTTTCACGCAGGAAAGACAAACTCTCCATTTAAGATAGCACTTCTGGACAAGAAACCTAAGGATGTAAGTATTTCAAGGTGGCAAAAAGTAAGCCGATAGAAAAGCTGCACTGCCTGTGTACTAATTCTCTTTCAGCCAGACCTAATTATTCATTTACTACTAAATAATGTACAGACACCTACGACTTTTCCCAACAAATTAGAACATATGAAAGGTGCCAGATTGATAGCCCTGAAGACCTTAGTTTCTCCAATCAAGAGGTTCAGAACAGGGAGTAGTAGTATTCAAGATTATCCACACTGCCCTGCCATTGTGCCTCAAACCTGACCTCCCAGAGTATGTCTACACTGCAATTAAACACCTGAGGATGATCTGTGTCAGATGATTCAGGCTTGCAAGACCCAGGCTGTGTCTACACTACCGCGGTAACTCAACCTACGCTATGCAACTCCAGCTACATGAATAACATACCTGGAGTTGACAGTACCTTAGGTTGAGTTACCGTGGGGTCTACACCGCAAAGGGGGGGGTGTCGATGGGAGAAAATCTCCTGTCTACTTACCTTACTCTTCTCGTCAGGGGTAGAGTACAGGGATCGACTGGAGAGCAATCTGCAGTCGATTTGGCGGGTCTTCACTAGACCTGCTAAATCAACCACCGGTGGATCGATCTCAGAGTGTCGATCCTGGCTGTAGTGTAGATATAGCCTCAGGCTGCAGAGATGTAAAATTGTGGTGTAGACGTTCAGGTTTGGGCTGGAGCCTGAGTTGTGGGACCTTCTACCCTTCACCTAAAGGTATGTTTACACTGCAATGTGAGCCCAGGGTTAGTAGAACTCGAATTTGCAGACCCAGGGTTTGTTAACCTAGAACTTGAGTGTCTACACTCATTTGTAACTTCAGGTTACAAATTGTTGAACCCTGAGTCCCAACCTGGGGCTCCAGTGTTTACACTGCATTATAATGAGTCCAAGCACCCACATCCTAGCGCCCTCCCAAAATGTGGCTGCTCTAGCCCTTTGTCTGTAGTGCAGTGTGGGAAAACTTGACTGTCCACCAAACTTGACTGTTCAGAGGACAAAGAAAGTCAGCCCGTTGGATTGTGGGATACTTTTGGCTGACTCCCAGAGCACAAGTCCAGTAGGATTGCATCAATAGCGCTTGAACCCTGGACCCTCCACCTCTGTGGGATCCTGGGACCAAACCCTGGGTTAACACGATTTGTGTGTAGACAGATGGGGGTTAGGCTTGAGCCTGAGTTCAAACCCTAGGCTTACACTGCAGTGTAGACATATCCTAAGGGCATGTGTACTCTGCAAAAAAGCCCCTGTGATGGCAGTGAGTCTCAGAGCCTGGGTAAACTGACTCCGGCTCACGAGGCATGTGCTACAGGGCTAAAAATAGTAGTGTAGCTGATTGGGCTAGGGCTGGAGCCCAGGTTCTGAAACCCATGAGGGGGTGGATCTCAGAGCCCAGGCTTCAGTCCAAGTGGGAATGTCTACACTGCTATTTTAGCCCCGTAACGTGAGCCTGAATCAGTTGACCGAGGCACTAAGACTCACTGCCATGTCTTTTCTTTTGCTTTTGCTGTGCAGACTTACGCTAAGGGGTCACCAGTTGTCAGAGCCTAGTCCTGTTTCTCTGGCCCATTCACTCCATGGCCCATTCGCTCTTTAAATTGTGTGGAAAGACTACACAAAAGAGGGTCAACTCATGCCAGCGGGGTGAGTATTTTGTATTGTGGACTATCTGAAGAGTTGATTTTAATATCTCTTTTCTTCATGCCTTAGGGAAGAAGCGAGATACAGGGATCGCTTTTATTGGTGCGCCAAATACATTATCACATACAAGCTCAGAGGCCAAAGAGATATAGGTGATTATAACAGTTGATTGAATAAAGAGCCATCACCCACAGCTCTACTAAGCTTATTCTTTACAACAAAGAATCTTGGCCATAGCAAGGTATTTTCCTTTTCAAAGCCTTGCCATTGCAGAATTGCTCACCATTTTCCTGATCGATAAACTGCCAATGCAATTTACTCCATACCCTATCATTGCCAACTTCATCATCCATTATTGTTGCATACAGGAAGTCAAACAGTGAAAACAACCTTTCTTTAAAAGAACACCATGGAAAGGGCCTGACTGAAAGCCCAATGGAGTCAATGGGAGGCTTTGGATAAGGCCCAGAGGTGGACAACTAGATTGCAATTTCATCAATATTTCCAGGATGGTCGGACAGTTTCATTTCAATGATTCTTCCACTTTCCCTTCTGACAGCCACATCAACCTGAGTTCTCAACGGGGTTGTATTGGGGGCCCTGAGTCAGCTAATCAGGAAGGGTTTTAGTCTATATAACAGAGCAATTTGGCAGCAGGAGACTGTCCAGGTTTTGCTGACAGCTGCAAATATTTACCTCAGGCAGCGAACGTGTCATGAGGTCAAGCAGCAGAGCAGCTGCAGTAATGGCGTAAAGCCCCATAATGGTCTCTTTGGCTCCATGTTCACATAATTGATTGAATCAGTAGGTAATCGGTTATACTAAACACTCGGTAAAATACCTTGTTGCTCGTAAGGAAGCCACTTCTTTTATAGAAAGACATCAACTAGATGAGCTAAGGTCATCTTTAACACCCAACCCAAAGTAGAACAATGGGTATTTAAGATTTGCAATGTGCACTTTTATACTTGCCATCTTGGCCTCTGACTTTTTCTACCCCCAGTGAAATGTAAATACACGCAGCACAGCGTGGTTTTCGTCTTTAGTTGCCATGTATAATATTACATAGACTAAGGAAAACTTCTGTGCAATATCAGAGTAGGACAGATCAGGGATGTCTCAAAGGGAACACACCCTTCCAATTAAAGATTTGCAAAGCGATAGCAAAAAATAAAAATGAAAGGAAAAATCATTCGGCTCTGAGTTTTATTATGAATATAAAGATTTTGTCGCTATAAATCCATTTCTCCTTACTGATCCTCCTGGTCAAACTTCATGTCACCCTCCACCCTGCCAAATTTTGTACTCTCATCCATTCACCTGTCAGTTTCTGAAACAATTGCCTCTGTGACTTCTCCCATGTAGTCTCCTATGCATGATATGGCCTCCCTGAATTCATTTGAAAGACACTTACCCTCTCCACTTAAGCTTCTTTTAAAGCATGACTTTTACCATGCTTTCTTGTTGATTTGTATAGAAAATCACTTTTCTTTATTCCTCTTTCTTGACCTCTGCCTACTTGTCTGTCCTTAAACGGTGAGTTTCTTGGAGCAATGACCATTCCTTCTTGGATGTCTGGAAGACAAGTTTCACGCCTTGTGTGCTAGGTGTCACACCAATAACAACTAGGGCTAAGTTTATTGTAATATTCATGATCCTGGGCCAATGTATGGTTGAACATTGTATCCACTTGAAATTCACAGTTTCAATGTGAGACTCAATGGTTTGAGGGTTTAGCTCTGGGGTGTTCACCAAGTCAAATGCTCACCAGAAACTCTGAGAAGCAAAACTGCTATGTTTCTGATGGCTGTCAGGGAAATGCAGTATTTACCACTGATTAGTGCACAAAGTTATTTTTCATCTCTTGGATTTCTCAAGAGAAGCCACTGTTCTAACCTGATTGTTATAAAATGCATCACAAAAAAGCAATACAACATGAATAGACATGGTTTGTTTCTGTGATGGAAAGGCAGAGGTGAGAGACATCATGGGTTTCCACTCACTGCATTCAAGTCTAGTTATGGGAGATCCACACCATACTTTGACTTTGCCTAAGGATCAGATCACTTACATACATGTAAAGCCACCTGATTATACTGAGTAGCCTCTCTTTCCGCTCTCATGTCTTCCGTTCTTTTCCCCCTTTCAACGTCTGTTGAGCTCAACCTGCCTCAGTACAGACAGGTTATTTCCTGAAACTGATATCAAAATCACGACCCACGCTGAGTGGTGGTGGAAGGGGGTGAGGAAAAGCAGAGGCTGAGAGTTTTCCCCATTACCAGTTGAGAGGGAACAGGAATCTTCAGGGTTGCTTTTGAACCCAGATTTGCCTCTTTTGCATTAGCTGCTAACTCCACCTTGGCACCGATGAATAAGTTCCAACATCAGCTCAGAGCTTTTCGATGATGTGGGGATGGACTGATTTTCCGAGGCATCCAAGGAGTGCTTTGCAGGATGCTGTTTTCCTTTACTGTACGAGAGCCTGGCCATTATCGAAGAATGTTTCTTGACAGTGAAAGGAAAAAAGGAAACCCAAACCATATAGCCTCTTTATCACATGCCATGGGGTTGGAGGCAGGGCTAGGGTTACCATACGTCTGGGTTTTCCCAGACATTGCCCCTTTTATGATGTTCTGCCTTCTGTCCGGGTGGATTTTTCAAACAACAGGCAATATCCAGGATTTTTGCAGAGCAGTCGTTGCAGCTCAGAAAGAGCCTTGATTGGTCTGCTTCCCAAGTGGTCCCTCCCTGCATCTGCAGCTGATTGGTCCATTCCCCTGAAGCTACAGCTGCCGGATCTCGCCCACCCAGGCCTCGGCTCCCAGCCCTGGGGAGGAGGTCCACACAGGGAGACGCTAACTGATGGCTGGTGCTGTATCCTGGGTTTGCAGCAGCTGCCTTGCTACAGTGACAGGGAACAGCACTGCCCCCCACCTCCAGTGAGTACCCCTACTGCAGGTACCCCCTCCAGGGCCTCCAAATACCCTTCCCAGTACACATACAGCCCTCATACACCCCGGTAGCCTTTCCAGTACCCCCAACTGTACTCCCCTCCTTACCGTCCCCCCGGCAGTGTCCTCTTTTTGGGAACCTGAAATATAGCAACCCTAGCTGCGGGTTCTCACATGATAATGCCCCCCAGCATCTTCCCTCTGCTGGCAAATCATTTGGACATCTTCTCCAGGAACAACAGTGTTTGGGGACATAATGTTAAAAAACACCCACAAAACCCTAGAGTTTAACTATGTGGCACAACATAAATAAGTCATGAGCAGGGCAACGTGTTTTAAATTCATACAGAGACAAATGAAAGCAAAAAAGAAAAGAAAGATGTTCCATTTGAATAAGCTCCGTGGGATGCATCCATCTCTGGTGTAAACACCTTTTGACTTCAGTGGAATTACACCAGGGATGTAGTTGATTCCAGTGCTTTTGCTTTGAAGGTTTTATCTTCTCCAAAAGCCATAGGCTTGCTCTGGAATAAATGATAATTCAAGTGCTCTTCTAGGGGAGGGGGGAGTACCTCTGCTGTTTGAATTTAATACAAAAAAATACAAACACCACTAGCAAACATCTCCATATTACTGCAGAGTGCTAGAGATACATTGTATGTGCCAGAAACATCCCCCCTCATTTTGTGAGAGCAGTTTTGCACTTGCAATTAGTTGTGGCCACAGATCGAATTTGGACATCTAAGCAGGTGATTGACAGGTGCAGGCCCCAGGGGAGGGGTGGTGGATTCAGGAAGTGGCCCTTGTGAGACAGGGGCTGGCAGAGGTGGCAAGCCTGCCAGGGGGAGGAAAGCTGCCACTGCTGCAGCAGAGGTTGGGCTCACCTGAAATTGGGAGGGAAATCTGACAGAGCATTGCTACATTCTCTGGTTCATGTCTCTGTCACCGTTCATCTGTTCTCCTTTTTTGTCTCACCCTATCGATCTAACGTTCTTATGTGGCCCCCATCTCCGCAGTGTCTCAGCACCTCACGGTCTTTAACGTATTTTTCCCCACCGCACCCCTGTGAGGGAGGCAAGTACTATTATCCACATTTTACAGATGCCCAGCGAGACAAAGTGATTTGCCCAAGGTTGCAAAAGAAGCCTGTAGCAGAGCAAAGAATCAAATTCAGGCAGGGCTGGCTCCAGGCACCAGTGTAGGAAGCAGATGCTTGGGGCGGCCAATTCAAAGGGACGGCACTCTGTCCGGTATTGGGGCAGCACATCCGGGTCTTCGGCGGCAGTCTGTCATTCTCTATCTTCCAATTTGAGCTGCCGCTGAAGAGAGGGAGGACCCACTGCCGCCGAAGAAGTGGCGCGATTTAGCTGCCGCCGAAGTGCCGCCGCTCGTGGTCTTTTTTTTTTTTTGCGCCGCTTGGGGCGGCAGAAAAGCTGGAGCCAGCCCTGAATCCAGGACTCATGTCCTAGGCTAGTCTTCTACTCACTGGTCCATCCTTCCTCTCTACTGGCTCTGTACAAACTAGGGCTCCAACCTGCCTATTTTGGAACTGAGTCTATGTCTTTGTCCACTACAGAAACTTTTTAGACAGGAAGATAATTTCTAGAGCTGTGCAAAGCTTAGCAGTTTCACTTCTCAGGGTTTCAGGAGAACTTTGACTTCAGCTTCAATCCATGAGGGCTTGGAGTTTTAGGTGCAAATGACTAAAACACTCACAGTGAAATAATAATAATTTTGACTTTATTATTTGTATTCTGGTAATGCCCAGAGGAGTTTGAGGCTCCACTGTGTACGCGCACACACACACACACACACACACACACACACACACACACACCATTCTCCAAAGAGCTCACAAACTGCATAGACAATGACAGACAAGAGCTGAGAGAAAGGAAGTAACTGAGGTACAGCACGATTATGTGAGTTGCCCAAGGTCACAGGTAGTCTGTGGCAGAGCTGGGAAGTGAATTCTCCCAAATCCCAGTCTAGTGCTTTAGCCACAAGACCTTCATCTCCCTGGAAGGACTGTCAGACATCATATAAGGGATTTTAGCTAACAGCTGAAATCCTGTCAATTACTGGGGTTTTGACCTGACTCCAAGTGAGTATGAACAGGTGTGTGGCTCTGAGACAATCTTCCAATGATCCTAGGCCTAAATTGCTATCTAACAACAGTAGATCAAACCAAGCAAGAGTTGCATGGCTTTGGTTTCATAACAAAAGATTTACGCCACTTTCAAAAATCTCCTCTGATGATCTCAGACAGTAGACACATCTTTCCTCCTGGGGAAGCTATTATTAAACCTGGGCACTGTGGATCAAATCCATAGCTACTGCATTTCAAAGAGAAGTCTAAGAGGTTGACCGCAGGACCTTGTGTGGGTAGAAACCAAGCAGAGTAAAGTTAAGTGCCTGGTCGACTGTCTAACCCAGCTTGTCTTATTTTACTTGACCTGTTATGATACAATATGCTCCCATTTAAAGGAATGTCAGACCTTGAACATAGCACAAAGCCATGGGCTAGAGACAAAAAGGGCTGGAAATCTACAGGGTACCAACTTCTACAGTACAGGATGAGCTGATGAAAATATAGCAGCTTGAACTGTAAAGAACACTTTCTATACATGCAAAAGTTGTACCTTGTTAACTACACCAGTATAATTAAAGCAGTGCAACCCTCCTAGTTTGGATGAGGTTATATTGCTATACAGGTGCTTTGTACCAGACCAGCTATTCCCTATGGGAAGGGGAATAATCTATACTGGTATAAGACACCTTTTACACCAGTACAGTTGGGTCCATGCTAGAGGTTGTCCTGGTCTATTTAGGTGAAAATATCATACTCCTAAAATGAAATAGTGATATTAGTACAAAAGTTCTGTATAGACCAGGCCTCTCGTAACACAAAAACTAGCGGTCACCAAATGAAATTAATAAGCGGCAGGTTTAAAACAAACAAAAGGAAGTATTTCTTCCCACAACGCACAGTCAACCTGTGGAACTCTTTGCCAGGGGATGTTGTGAAGGCCAAGACTATAACAGGGTTCAAAAAAGAGCTAGATAAATACAGGGCTGTCCCTAGCCATTTGGGTGCCCTATGCAGCCCCCCCCCGTGGGGGGGGGGGCTGTGTGGGCCCCCAGCCCCCCCCAAGGCTCTGGGAGGCAGGAGCTGGTGGGGGCCACTTTTGGGGGCCCCACAGGCCCAGAGTGGCCCAGGGGATTAACAGGGGACAGGGAGCAGCCCGCGCCACTTCCCTTGCCCCGGCCCCAGCCGTATCACTTCCCTCACCTGGCCCCAGCCCGCTCTACTCTGCCAGCTCCCAGCCGCAGTGCTCTGCTTCCCACCGCCGGTGAGAGCCGGGGGCAGTCCTTTCCCCAAACAGCATGACATGGCTGGGGCCGGGGCAAGGGAAGCGGCGCAGGCTGGGGCCGTGTCTCTCTGCTTTCCGCCGCCGGTGAGTGCGGGGGGCGATCCTTTCCCCGCACTCACTGCGGTGGGAAGCGGAGCGCTGTGGCTGGGAGCTGGCGGAGTAGAGCGGGCTGGGGCCTGGTTGCTCCGCTTCCCGCCGCTGCCGGTGAGTGCGGGGTCGCTGGGGGGAAGAGGTGGAATGGGGGCAGGGTGGGGGGAATGCAGGGGGGAAGCATAAGAGACAGGGTGGAGGGAGTTGTCCGCCCCCCCCCCTTGCAGGGGGGGCTGGCCGAGGGATAGGGCTGGTTGCCGGGGCTGGTGCTGCTGCATATGCAGCAAGCAGCTGCCTAGGGCACCATGAAATTTGGGGCAATTTGGTGCCCTAGGCAGCTGCGTATTCTGCATATGCCTAAGGACAGCCCTGGATAAATTCATGGAGGACAGATCCATCAATGGCTATTAGCCAGGATGGGCACTGATGGTGTCCCTAGCCTCTATTTGCCAAAAGCTGGAAATGGGTGACAGGGGATGGATCACTGGAGATTACCTGTTCTGTTCATTCCCTCTGAAGCACCTGGCCACTGTTGGAAGACAGGATACTGGGCTAGATGGACCTTTGGTCTGACCCAGTATGGCCGTTCTTATGTTCTAGGCCTAAGGCAATGATTTTTAAAAGTGCCTAATGATTGACTGGCTCAGTTTCTAGATGCCCAGCTTCAGACCCCTCCAAGAGTTTGATTTTAAGAGGGTGGATGCTCTGTCCCTTTAAGGTGTGTGAAGTTGAACATCCAAAAATCATTAGTCACTTTTAAAAAATCTTATTCATATGGCCCTATCCTGCAACCCTTTCTCATGTAACTGCAATGTGACTTCTAGCACAAGCGTGACAGAGAGCCCCCAGGA